CTATTCTGGAAAAGGGGGCTGGGAGCAGCAGCTCATTTGCATTTAAAGACACAGGCCCGAAAAACAGCTGGTTTCTGCTATCACTCAAAATAGGCATTTTCAAAATGATATAATAAATTATCTGTGGAGTATTTTGAGCTGAAACTTCACAGACACATTCTGGGAACACCAGAGACTTATATTACATATTGTAAAAAGGGGCATAATATGTCACCTTTAAGCTGCAGAGCTATTCTTCAGTAAATACATGAGTGAGTTTTACATTTGAGTCAACTTGCATAATTTATCTTACCTTTCTGGCAATTAATAGATAATGGAGCAAGCAGTAAGGTAACACGTTTTATACGTTGGGCTGTAGGGCATGATTTTTTAAACCACTAGATAGCGCTGGAGCTGCTTAAATACTGTGAGTCCCTGATACCAGAGAGCTCAATGCTGCAGTGCCAGACAAATGTGCTAGACGGCTCACGAGAGCAAGAGAATGGCATTTTTGGTGTGATGATGAAATATAGAGCAAATGTTGACTTTTTCACAAGCTTAATAATTGTGAAAGCTCAATGTCAACAAATAAGGTAAGCAGTGCACATTTACAGTAAATCATGTTGCAAAAGCTGACAATCAGTCATTACCTTTCTGAGTTCCCATGAAAAAAGGTAAGTGTGGATACAAATAGGTGAGTCTGGATGCTCTTACTGATAAATTATCAATAAAATATCACCCTTCACGTTAGCATCACCCAGATTTGAATTCACAAACTGTAAAATCCTTTTTTGAGTAAACATGCCTTATTACTGTAACATGAGAAGATGTATTTTTACATCAATAATTAATACATTTGTAATACAGCTGAAGCTAAAACCATAAAAAATTGTTACTTGAAATAAAATAAACATTAACTAAAAATAAAATATTAAAAACTGTTTTAATTCAGTTGCCTAGGCAGCATTTCTCATTGCATTTTAATTTAACTTAATAAAATAAATAAAATCTATATAGACATAAATTAATAAAAAAATATATTACTAAACCTTTAACTAAAATTAAAATGACAGAAAAAAGAACCGATTCTCACACACAAGTAATAATATAAGAAAAAATCAAATTAACTGAAAATTTACAAGATACATTTTTTTATTTTCAATAGTTCTAAAAGTGCCAGGTATAGTGAATAGTTTATAGTTTGTCAGAGAGTTCAACAGCTTGGGACAATAGTGACTAAAGTCCACTTTTTTGGCAGTGTTTTAGGTTTAACCTTTGGTGTTTTGGGCAGCCTTTAGTTAAATTATATGCCTGATCTGGCTAGATTAGCGACAATATTGCCAAAGTATGCAGGGACAACACCATGAAGACATTTCAAATCAGTTCTGTAAGATCAAGTTAGCAGTGAAAGGATTCAAGTGCTGAAATGTGATTCCTCAGTCCAGAACGAGCCTACATTCTGTGACGCAAGGTAAGTCACTTAAATTCCCTCCACTCTGGGATTTGGATGACAATAGGTGAGTTTACTCACACTAAATGCCACAACAGTCACAAAAAATGAGGAATGTGAATTCTATCCTGGTGAGAATGGGCAGAGAAGATTCTGATTGGCTGAGGGAGCTGTCAGCACTGGGTTTTGAAGCTTGTGGTCAGATTAAATAAGAGAATGAGAGAACTGTGGCAGTAAAAAGAGGGGCCAAGATAGCAGGAAGGACTCACTTTAAGCCTTGAGAAAAGCCGTCATGACGCTCGCTGAGATTATCTTCATCTTGACCGGGACTTGTGCTGTCCTGGTTTTTGGAGGGAAATTAGTATGCCTGTTTATGATGCTTGTCCCGAAGCTCTTCTGTCCTCTTCCTGAGTCTTTTTTCACCACTCTGGGGAAATGGGCAGGTGAGATACACCAGCATTCTAAATTTTATTTCCTGTATTTTGTGTTGAGCATGCATTTTCTATATAAACCAGTCTTTTATACTTGAAAGATTTTTGCAAAAAATAAATACATTCTAAATAAATTAATAAAATAATGAATAAGAGAGAAAGTATAGCAATTCTAAACTTGTGACCTGAAAGCTAAAAAAAAAAAGTATATGTTCGTTGGTAACCCTTTATAATAACTTTCATTAAGAATATAATTTCACATTACTACGTTAAATATTGCTTAAAAGATAATTTGTTTGAAAGTTTAAAATTAGTTAACAGTTAGAAATGTCATGATTTAAGCATTTTAGAAAATGCAAGGTTTATTATATCTTCTGAACTGACCCCCTGCTGTTCCTTGAGGGAACCCTGGTTGAGAACAGTGGATTTAAAGCATGAGAGTGAAAGAAAGTGAACCATGTGGCCCTCCTACAAATCATCACTGCCTTGGTTTTGTTCCATTGTTTGGCCCAGGAACAAGGTTCTCATCTTACTTTAAATTGTCCCTTACAAAATGTCTTGCTTTTCTAAAGAGTACTTTTATTGTTGGCCAAAGAGAGACCATCCTTATGGCTTTCTTGAAATCATACTGTGTATAGAAGTTCAGCAACAAAAAAAACAACAATTCCAGCCACTTTTTCCCAAGCTTCCTTTCCATTCCGGCACTGAGAGTGGCAGAGAACAAAAGGCAATTAGAACAGTATGTTCCAGGACATTATTACTCTTTTCATTTCTTGACTTTGAATGGTTGTTCCTGCTCATTTGAAATCCAATTAACATTACTTTTTCTCTCCTTCTGCAACTATTCTTTCACTTTAAGGCTTTGAAAAGTTCTTCCTTGTGTGTGTGTGTGTGTGTGTGTGTACAGGTTTATATATCCTGGTGGGGACTATTACAATGTCCCTTTGCAGGGGATGTTTTCTAGCATGTTTAGACACAGTACATCTGCTATTCCTTTCACTTTAAATAAATAATCATGAGAGTTCTGCAAGTTGTTGTGCATATTGGTTCAGCCTGTATGAGTGCATGATTGAATGCTGTAAGATTTGCATTCATATATATTAGAAACATATTAGAATGGTTTTTAAAGGATCATGTGACTGAAGACTGGAATAATGGCTGCTTAAAAAACTTTGCCATCTTAAGAATATTTTAAAATAAAATAAAATAAAATATATATTTTTTATTTATAATTTCGTTATTTTATTTAGTTATAAAAGCCATATAAATAAATATAGATGTTTGTTTTGAGTTTCATAAGTTATGTTTCAATGCAATGCAAGTCATATTAATATATAAAACACAGGTAACACAATAAGGTCCAATTCATTAACTAACAATGAGCAATACATTTCTTACAGAATTTATCCCAGGGATCTTTTGACTGCTTTGCCACCCATAGTTGATTGTTTGCTGCAGTTGCACTACCAAGGACACTGAGTAAATACAGCTGGATAAAACAAAAACTGTGTCCGTCTTCATTTCAGGCTGCAAAGCAACAAAATTTGATTATTTTAAAGGGGGTGATTCTTTTCTATATCCACTGTAATTAATAATATATGTTATATATTATTAACAGTATTTATTTATTACAATTATACTACTTATATAATACATAATAAAAACTGAGGTAAGCCAACTAAAGACTGAATTGTTCACATTTGACACATTCAAAATATTTCACTTATCTGAGATTTCACTGAGATTGTAAAGCAGGGTTCTACTTGTACTTCTTGTACACCAAGAACATTGACACAAAGAAAGAACGAAAGCATGGGAAACGAGAAAGAAACACACAAAAAAGCAATTTTCCCACAGAGAGGACAACACAGACTTTAGTTTTAAACCTTTCCAGTCTGCAAAAGTAATGAAAGTATGAAGGTAATTACATCTTACATCATTTCCTCTGTTTTATAAACTAGTCATCCCACTAGCCCTCCAGCACCCCTTTTCTTCCCACTCCTTTGTAGCGCCAATGTGAACTGCTCAGATGGACTAACAGTGGTGGAGAGAAGATGACTTTTCACACATATGTACCACCCATGCTCCCTGTTTGTTTAGTGAATTGGTGGGTACACACAGTCTGTTCAAGAACATGTTGTTAAAACAAACAGACACCGACTGCCTTTCGTCTGAAGTGTGAGAATGACAGGAAACAGATAGACAATCATGTTCTGAATACGGTTTATGCAAAAGCTTATTTTTTGTAATAAAAATGTAAAATATGTGCAGGTTATAGTTATTTACATACATAATTTCAAAATATATTGTAATTTTGATCATTTCTACAACATATATATATATATATAGTTTTTAAATGATATTTCTCAGCTTGAATAGTCAATCACAGTTGTTAACAATCAGTGAATTAGAAACAGAGAATATCATATTATCATTCATACCTTCCAGTTTATTATTTTAAGTCTAATACTGAATATTTCCCCTGTTTCAGTGGTCACTGGAGGGTCAGATGGAATAGGCAGAGCATATGCAGAAGAGGTAACAAGATATCCACCTTGTGAAAACTGTGATTTGCTATGACAATATCGATATTAGATTAGATATTAGATTAGTTCAATAATTAAGAGGTATAAGGTTAAAAGGTAACAGTAAAAATAATATTTTTATTCAGCAAGGAAGCATTAAATTGATCAAAATTGGCAGTAAAGACATTTATAATGTTATAAAAGATTTCTATGTCAAATAAATGCTGTTCTTTTGAACTTTAATTCTTCAAAGAAATCTGAAAAATGTATCCTGGTTTCCACAAAAATATTCACAACTGTTTTCAACATTAAAGTAAGAAATACACCAGCTCGTCCCTAGTATCAGACACTAGGCTGTTTTGGTAAAACTGTCTTTCTCTACAGCTTTCAAAACTAGGTATGAGTGTGATCGTCATCAGCAGAAATCAAGAGAAGCTTGACAGAGCAGCAAGGAAGATCGGTAAAGCATTTACTGCTGGAATTTCAGCTTCTCGACTTGTCTGTATAGTCTTAGAGCTCAGTTTCACCAGCGTTCTTTTCTTGTTCTGACAGAGCTCACTACAGGTCAGGAAATCAAAGTAATAGCTGCTGACTTCACCAAAGATGATATATATGGACACATTCAAGAAAACATCAAGGGTTTGGATATTGGTATTTTAGGTCAGCATCCGATATCTCAATGTGTCAAAGTATTTATTTAAAGTTCTAACATGTTCAACAGTGCTAATCCAGTGTGTTATACTTTTCTTTAAACACAGTGAACAATGTCGGGATTCTGCCCAGCCAAATACCCTGCAAGCTACTTGAAACCTCTGACTTAGAAGAAGTGAGGCCTCCAACGGTTCATACAGTCATTGCTAATGCTTTTAATATAATAAATCCTGTAAAGAATATGCTACTGCCAGCTCTCATTAATGAAGTAGTAGTCTTTGAAAATTATTTTAGGTATTACATACTGTAGTAATAGAAAATTACTCATAATAACTACATTGAAACATGTTAAAAAATATCACAAATATCAGTAATGGAATTCCATCAAGAAAAACTTTACTGTTTAAGAACTGTTTAGTTAAAAGTTTTTAAAATAACCTTTTCTTTCTTGTGAAAAACATTTTCAAAATCTGAAGAAAGTTTTGTGCATTGCAAAGGATCCATGGATGTCAAAGGTTCTTCATGGAACCATAGATGCCAATAAAGAACCTTTATTTTTAAGAGTGAAAAGTTGTAGTAGTTGTAGTTTTGGAGTGTTTATCACATATTGTCATTTATATGTTTCATGTTGTGGCCTCTCCTAGAGAATACATGATGTTATCAACTGCAATGTAAAAGCCATGGTTAAGGTGAGTACAAGCAAACAGAACCTTACCACTCACCATATACATTCCAAAGAGGCAGTGGTTAGCAACTGGTGGGTCGTATAGCGGTCACACGTAAAATTCAGCTCTGTTCTGACAGGGTTGCAGAAAGCAAGGAAAAATTATTCTAAATGCAAAGAATAAAATGCAACTAATTATATAATCATGTATGATTAGCAAAAATAAACTGGTTGACTTTTAAAAGTTGGGGAGAAAACTCTTGTTATTGGGAAAATAAACCTTTCCGTCAAAGGTCATGCATCCAATCAAACTAATTTTTTTAAATTTTCTTACTTAGTCTGTCGTGTTGATATTTGTTAGGCCTATAGAGTTCATCGTAATATTAATAGATTTCAATGTTTTACTTTTTTATTTATTATTATTATTTTATGAAATTTTAGATGATAAACAATTTTGAATCACCACTTGATGTCAAACATAAAATCCTAGAGAAAAGCTAGTTGTGTCGGCGCCGATGGCCTCGTGGTCAGCGTGCCGACATATAGCGCCTTTGCGCTTCGGGCATCCCGAGTTCGAGTCCAGGCTAGTGGACCTTTCCCAATCCCACCCCCCCCTCTCTTTCTCTCACCCACTTCGCTTCTTGTCGACCTACTGTCCTATCTAAATAAAACGCCAAAAAATGAATCTTTAAAAAGAAAGAAAAGCCAGTTGAGAACCATTGGTTCTAAGAAAGAGATTTAATAGTGTACTCACGTCGTTTTTACGTATTCAGATGTGCAGAATTGTGCTACCAGGGATGCAGCAAAGGTTTGGCCTTCTCTGTTCAATAGTTTTCTCATGATTTTTCATACAAATTTTAACAAATGACCAGCACACTGACCATATGTATTTCCTTAGAGGAAGAGGAGTGATTTTGAATGTGTCCTCCGGCATAGCCAAAATACCCTGCCCCATTTACTCCCTGTATGCAGCATCCAAGGTCAATTTAACAAGACATCTACACAAAGTTGAAACATTCTATCTTTTTCTGCAATTCAAATAACATTCTGCACTGTATTGGCAATGTCAACATATTAAAAAAAAATACAAAAATCTTCTCATCTACAGGTTTTTGTTGAGAGATTTTCACAGGGTATTCAAGCAGAATATAAATCCAAGGGAATTATTATTCAGGTGAGTAAAAAATCGTGTCATGCCTGCAAAAGAATGCTAGTTATTTTGCTCTCTTTACCATCCAGAACTTAGCCACACATTAGGTAAATAATGTTTTGGGTGTATTAAATGTACATAGAGCTTACCAGAAGTAAGATATCAATGTCCTCATTCCCAAATGTTTTTTTTTTTTCTTAGACGGTGGCTCCATTTGGGGTTTCAACATCAATGACAGGACATCAGAAGCCAGATATGGTCACCTTCACACCTGAGGAGTTTGCAAGGAGCTCACTGAAGTATCTAAAAGCTGGTGACCAAACATATGGCAGTGTCACTCATACCATACTGGTAATGACCTCAATGAGTGGTAATGAATGCAAATTACTTGCTTTACAAATAAATATTGAATATAATTAAGTATTGTGCCTGACCAACGTGTAATTGATCTGTAGGGCGGGATTGTGCAGTCCATTCCCACCTGGGTCCTGCAGAGCGAAGCGTTTCAGCATCATTTCAGGGAATATGTGAAGGAGAGGGTCGGATGCTGAGAGTGGTCATTCTCTTAGTATATGTATATGTATATATATATATATATACACACACACACAGTGGGGCAAATAAGTATTTGATACACTGCCGATTTTTCAAGTTTTCCCACTTACAAAGAATGGAGAGAT